AACGTTCAGGAGGATACAGACATCCTAACGGGGCCGGCTCCGCCCCCGATTCTACCTCAACTATCCAAGGCACCCACTCCTATCAATCAACCGGATTCTCCCTTCGAGTCCGAGGTGGACCCCATGGCATTAAAAGTGAGCAAGCTTGAAAAGCTGTTCAAGAAATCTCAAGGTGTGAAGTCCATTCCGGACATTGAGGATGGGTATACCGATGCAGCAGTGACGCTGCCAGATCGGTTTAAGATGCCACAAATTGATCATTTTGACAGATCCGGGGATCCCATGGTGCACCTGTGACTGTTTTTAGATATTCTAAGGCCAATGGGCCTCACCAGACTACAGAAACTTTCACTGTTTGGCCGGACCCTGTCAGATGTAGCGGCCATCTGGTATGCAAAACTAGAAGATGATGTCAAGAGAAACTGGGATGAGATGGCTGAGGCGTTCATTGCACAGTACTCCTATAACACTCAAATCGCGATTACGACCCGTGATTTTGAGACGACAAGGCAGGAGCCTACGGAGAGCTTCTCGGAATTCGTGGCCCGGTGGAGGGCGAAGGCCTCGATGATGACTCTAAGGCCTACTGATAAGGATCAAATCCGGATGATTGTGCGCAATCTCCAGCCTAAGCTAATGCAGAAAATGATCATGCTCCCCTTCCCTACCTTTTCAGATTTGCATGAGATGGGAGTACAGATCGAGGATGCCATGAAGCAGGGCCTCATTGACCAGGAGAAGGAGCAGCCCAGGAGGGCGTTCATCCGCAGTTCGAATGCGACCACCAGCGGTGATGCAGCTGCTAGGACTTCAGACGTGGGCATTGTCGCCACCACCACACCGAGAGCAGCGACCCCCTTTGTTGGTGCATCCACTTCAAACCCCCGAACTTCGGACTATCTACCCCGAGGCAAGAGGGTTTTCACCCCGCTCTTTATGCCTTTGTTTAAAGCTCTAGGGGTCCTACTCAAGAAAGGGCATCTGAAACCGTTAGAACAACGGCCCCTACCCGATCCTCTCCCTGCAAAGCATGACCCGACTAAGTACTGTGCTTTCCATCAACAAACCGGTCATGACACTGACAGATGCGTCCGTCTCCACCACGAGATACAAAATCTGATTGACAATGAGGTCATCGTCGCACCAAGCTCTGCAAAGTCTATCGACACTTGATCAGTGAACTTATGGGGGATAATGTGATGTGATCAGAGGTTGGACCACCTGTGGGCGGCACTCACTTTACTCCAGATGTGGCGTATGGCACGCACTGTTTTGAGCATCTGTGAATGTTAGTTTTGTACATTCTGACTTGGGTATTGGGTCAGTCTTGTTGTGTTGTTTTGAGTCTGTCTCTTTGTTTTGAGTCAGTCTTTTCATACTGAGTCAGTCGGGTCTGTCTTATTGTATCGAGTCTGTCCTGTTTTGTTAGAGTCAGGTAATTTCGGGGGTGTTACCTTGGATATCACTTGCTTGTTTTGAGTTTGTCTTTTTGCTTTCCTTTGAGTCTGTTTCTGCCGGGGAGCCAGTTGTGCCAACAGATTTGAATGGAACAGCAGTGATTTTCACTCTTGTGTTTGCTTCTGCCGTGTGCCAGTTGTGCCAGAAATTCTAAATGAGATGGCAGTATTTGACTAGAAGCTGTGTCTTTTCTGTGCCTTGAATTCATTGCATCGACCTAAGTTTTCCAAAACTTTTTTCGAAACATTGTGAGAAAAACAAAGAGGAAGGAATTCCTCAGGTTTTGCAAAACTTGATCAATTGAGAGAAAGAGAGGCATGTTAAGCCCTTAATGATTGAGATCATGCTTGTTAGTATGAGTATTGAGAAGGATCCTGGCTTGATCCAGATTGGTCCTACACCGTCTTCAGCGCGAGCGATTTGTCGCTTTCTTAAAAGATTTCAAAAACTGTTTTGCGCGGTCCTGTGAAGACTTGTGTGAAATCGCTCTTGAGATTGTGCAGCCTAGGATCACTCTCAACCTCAAGATTCAATCCATTTGTTTTCGAACCTTGAACCCATTCAGAACGTTCAACGGTCAACCACCATGTGAGGCCTGTGTGGCCAGATTCAAAGCAGCCCTCGAACAAGAGGCAAGAAAGTTAGATCAAGAAGATCAGATTTCATCAGAAGAGGCTTGCGAAGCTAGAACAAAAGCACCCCTCGAACTAGGGGCAAAAATGTCCGATATGCTCGAAGAGCCGAAGATGGATCCTTTAGTAAATCAATGTAACGACCACTCTCCTAGATACGGATGGCTGCAAAACCCTAAAACCATTTGGCATGGACTTGTTACACTTTTACCCTTTGAGAGGCTCGCTGGGCCGAAAACCCGGAAGGGCGACCCAGGCAAAAGTTAAAGCAAGAGAAAAGAACAAAAAAAAACGAAAACAAAATAACAACAAGAATAAAAGAAAAAAAGAGAAAAGAAAAAAAAATGAAAAAAAAAGAAAAAAAGAAAAAAGAATGAAAAGATACAAAAATTGAAAAAAAAGAAGAACAAAGCTCGCAAGGTCGAAAACCCGCAACGGGCGCCTTGGCAAAAGTTAGAGCCTAAAAAGGAGAGGTTAATACCCGAGTGTACCTTAACCCCGAACTACGTAAGGCTTGATTCCCATCTTTGGGATACGTTGGTAACTTCATTCTGAAGTCCAGCCGTAAAACACTTCAAATTGACTGTGCCCATGTAATGGTTTTGATCATCTTCGGTTTCTTTGTATCCGAGAATTTGGTTGTGTTCGTTACTCTGAGGACTGACTACAATGCGCTGCGGGGCCATCCAGACAAGGGGCAACTTTCCGTTGCGATTCAATGCGTTGTGGTGCCATCTAGACAAGGAGCAAATTTCCGTTGCCATTTAATGCGCTGTGGTGCCATTCAAATAAGGGGCAACTTTCCGTTGCCATTCAATGCGCTGTGGTGCCGTTCAAATAAGGGGCAACTTTCCGTTTCCATTCAATGCGCTGCGGTGCCGTTCAAACAAGGGGCAACTTTTCGTTGCCATGCAGCTCTCTTCGAGCAAGGGGCAATTTTCGTCCAGATCCGAGGTTGTACGTCTCAAGAGTAAGTTCCGCGCTTGTTAAGCGTTAAGCATCGACCGTTTGCAAAAATAGTTTTTGAGAATTTTTACTGAGGTTGACTAATTTTCTTGAAAATTGTTCCATCTTTTCCAAAAGTTGGACCATTTCTTGGACCCAAAAAAAGGAAAATTTTCAGTGCTCATAGCCTGACTTACATGATTTCGAATCAAAAAATCGAACAAGCGTGTTAATCTAACTCTCATGTTGGCAAAATTGTTTTAGTAGAAAGCAAAAACAAAAAAGGGTCAAAAGGATGAACTAGGGGCACAATTGAGTCAAG